GAGAGAGAGAGAGAGAGAGAGAGAGAGAGCGAGAGAGAGAGAGAGAGAGAGAGCGAGAGAGAGTGAGTGAGAGAGAAACCTCAAACGTCAACTGGCGTATCTTCTATCGCGACGCTCTCCGCGGTAACGGTCTTTCCGTTGTTTCTTTGTTGCCGGGTTTGTACCAGGGGAGGGTCGGGGATCGAGCCCCTCGTGGTACAAACCGGGGTTGGCCAAACGGAGCATGAGATTTGGTGGAGTCAACTGGCCTATCTTCTACCGCGACGCTCTCCGCGGTAACAGCCTATTTTCACCTCGAAAGATAACTGAATCAGTTCCCTAATTAGCGTTTTCATTTAATTATGAGGCCTAATTAAATTTACTATGCCCTAACTGATTTCTCCTATTCAACCTCCTATTGAAAAGGAACTGATTCAGTTATTTTTCGAGATGAATTTGGTCGCACCAATTTGGTGCGCCAGGGTCCTTTCCCGCTCCAAAGTTGACGGATTTGTACCACGGACCCAGCATGGCAACTTAAGAGTAGTCAGTCAACCCGAGTGAGGCAGACCCCAAACGTCAACTGGCGTATCTATCTTCTACAGGGACGCCGGCCTCCACGGTAACGCCACGGAGGGCTCTTGGGGGGGTATTCAAAAACCAATTTTCAAGGGAAACCGATCTTCAAAAGTTAATTTCCTATTGAAAACGGCTCCAAGAATGACATAATGGCTCCAAGAACGGGCATGGGATAACCCTCGAAGGGCCTTGAGTGGTTCTTTCCATCGTTTTTCTAGTTTTCCTATACCAGGCGGATTTGTACCGGGGGAGGGTCGGACATCGAACCCCTCGTCGTACAAACCGGGTCAGGACAAACGCGCTCCGCGGTAACAGTCTTTGCAGCGTTTTTTTTTTCGCTGGGTTTGTACCAGGGCAGGGCCGGAAATCGGGTCCCTCGTCGTAACGCACGTATGACCTGGCGCGGACGCGTCGTGTTATCTGACCCTGGGGATACAACCCCGTGTAGGATGGCCGGAGTGACTTTACATCCACGACCCCGTGAAGGATGACCGGAGCGACTTTACACACATGACTGAAGTGACTTTACATGTATGACCGGAGTGACTTTACATTCCAACGCAGTGACCCTGCGTTGGAATGCAGGCTAGACGCTGGAACAGCTCAAGGCCGCGCAGGAGGCATTTGATCGCCATTTTATGCTATCTTAGGTATCTTAGGGGTGGGGTTTATGCTATGGCAGAGGCCAAGACAGCAAACTCCACCCTTAAGATAGCATAACATGGCGATTCAAACCATGGGTTGGTGGGATCCAGGGAAGACGCTGGAAGAGCTCAAGGCCGTTTCTGTTACCTTATCCGTAGGAGCCCCCCTATGTCCCTACGGATTGCCTACCGTAGGGTCGTAGGTCTTATCGCTTACGGGTTATTCAAAATCCCTTTGAAGTCCGCTGTGTGGCTGACCCTGGAAAATCCCTTCGAAGTCCGGTGTGTGGCTGACCCTGCGTTGGTATGCAGGCAAGACGCTGGAACAGCTCGAGGCCGAGCAGGAAGCGCTCCGCGCCGCCGAGACTGCCGTTACCTTATCCGTAGAAACCCCCCTATGCCCCTACGGGTTGCCTACTGTAGGGTCCTAGGTCTTATCGCTTACGGGTTATTCAAGATCCCTTTGTAGCCCTCTGTCCGGTGTGTGGCTGACCCTGACTTGGAATGCAGGCAAGACGCTGGAACAGCTCAAGGCCGAGCAGGAGGCACTGCGTTCCGCCGAGACTGCACCCCCGGTCTTGCCCCTATATCCCAGCTCTGTCCCACTTCAATTTGGGCTCGTAGATATTTCGTCCCCCCCGAAATTTCACAGGTGAATTGCGACACCCCCCCACAGAATTTTCCTGTGAAATTTTTGAGGGGGGGGGGCGAAATATCTACGAGCCCAAATTCAACTGGAACAGAGGTAGATATCGTGTGGGGCAGGAAGCGCTGCGCGACCCGGTCTTGCCCCTATCCCTTAAGTGCCCATAGGCTGAATATTCACCCTAACTCGCCCTAGGCAGGTCCTAGGGCCCTACCGTAGGGTGTATGAGCCGGTCGTGTCCCTATCCCGTAAGTGGCCATGCGGTCAAATTTGACCGCAAAGAGATCGTAGGCAGGTCCTAGGGTCCTACGGTAGGGCGTACGAGCATGCTCGCCACTTAGCCGCCGAGACTGCGCCCCCGGTCTTGCCCTGCTGTCTTGTCCCGGTGGCGTGTCCATGTTCATACTCTCGTGTCCATCTGTCGTGTCCCGCACAATACCTGCCTTGGCAGGGGGTACAGAGGTACCTCGCTCATACAAAACCGCCCCCCCCCTAGGACCACCGTAGAGGGGGTACAGGGGTAACTCGCTCATACGACCCCCCCCCCCCCCCCCC